GCGACTATGCTGTCGAATCTGGCGGCAAAACTTTACAATAAGGCACTGTTGCTGATGGCGTGGAAATGGAGATCGGCGCTGTAGCGTGAAACTTAATTGGTTTAATTAATTTAACGTCGTGAAATCAACGGTGTCGAAAATGACCTCATCATGAGGGTATGAGGAAGACCGATGCAGTAGCTGCAAAGTTTTGTTTCTTTCACTCTCTCATCAACAAGCAACTTGGCGTTGAGTGAGCCACGAACTTGGAATGTGCACTGTCAGCATATTTCCGTATTGAGCGATCATCGATATTTGCGGCCATAACGTGTTACTCATAAACCGGAGACACGTTGACAGCAAACTTTCATGACCCGTCGCGTTGCCTTAGACGACTGATTGATGAGGATCGCAGAAAAGTAAGAGGAACGATTTTGGATGACAGCACTTGATACTGTGCAAATATCAACTATCACCCCCCCCCTCCCATACGTCTGTTAATCAGCTTATGTTTGTCATGCCACAGGTATGAAGGAATATCTTGTAGTTGATGGCCCATTTTGTCTTCTAAGTGATCTTGATGGAAACCTTGTCATACTAGTCAAAAAAGCGTTTTCTTCATTTCCACTCTCGAGTCAGACATTGGTGAGCATGTGCCTCTTGTTTTTCACTTAACCTCATGCTTCAGAGGTTGGACGTTCACTCATAATATTTTGCAACCGGTGTGAGTGTGACTAAAGGGAAAATCCTCAAGATTTCCAAGCCGATGAAAAGAGTTAGAAACCGATCACTAGTTTGATCTGACGATACGATTCAAAAGAAAAAAATTTAACGAACCAACCTCCTGGTTATCTTGAGGCTGGTGAATTCGTATTTTTCCCAAGCACATGGTACAAATGAATTGCTGGCAACGAAAATCACCTTAGCAGATACAGTAATAACTCGTAGGACAAATCTGGAGACATGGTCTCAATCGAGTCAGACATCACTGGCCACAAAGGGCTGCTGTACAGGATTATGACGGTTGGCAGGCCACCGTCAGTCTCTCATGGCGTATTGGCGGGTTTCAAATGTTGGCCACGAATTCGCGGAAAAACACAGTGCGGAATGACCTCTTCTGAACGCGGCGAACGACTCTCGTGTCAAACGTCAGGTTATGAATGCAAATGTTACGTTGACATACGTTTGGAATTTTTTTTACGTTCGAAATAAAAAATAAACAAGGCCAACTCCAATTATCACGTCAATCACCACGAATCTGAAACTAATCCCGGTTAACAGGAATTTCCCCTAATCGCAGTTTTTGCCGAAACTGCCCTTAATCTCTTTTGCTTCAAGTCGGTGGTTGATGAAAAGCGATTTTGAAATATGCGGGTCAGTGTCCGCATTTTTGTATGTGGTGGTGACGTACGGTGAACTACCGTAATTACCAGTGTCTACCATACTCTGTTGGATTAGTGACGAATAGGTGGTACCTCTTTTCTTCTGAGACTGTAACGTTGATTCTTATGAACAAAGAGTTCATCGTATGTGCATCGCCCTAACCAGCTAGAAAATTCGCTGAACGATACCGTGATGACGTGGTAGCCTAGTCTGATGACGACTTATCGTATGGGGCTGTCTTCATTTGCGACTGACCAATCAATCTGCTGCCTATAACGGTCTTCTGCCGTCCAGAACTGCCGAAACACGAATTACCGTAGACGGCAAAAACTGCAAGGAAATTTACATTTTCAATACAATGGTTCTTCGAGAAACTCTCTGAAGTAGATGCCGGTCTTGCTGGATAAGAATCGTTGGTTGTCGTAATGGATGGATCGTTGAAAACTCTATGCGTTTCGAGAGACTATAAAGCGAGCTGAGGGTGTTTCGGACAAAAACGCAGCGTGATCAGATTGTCGGTCATCAGGTGATTAAGCGATGGCAAAATGTCCCCTATTTCTCGTGCCTCCTGCAAGGCAAATGAGGGGTGAGTTTCAGCTGTTGCGTGGAACCCAGCGATCTAAGACGAACTGCCTGCAGCAGATGCTCGACGTAACAACAGAAATTCACCTCACCGCGTAAGATTGCCGTACAACTCTGAGCATCAGAAAATCGTTTTATTGGCCTTCCTGCTATGCCGCGTTGAACGTGAAGTATTTTATGCTGTTTTTCACAATAAGTACCGGCGCATGAACAAAATTCTCGGTCATTCGATCTCTCTCAATGATCATCTTCACTTTTGCTTTGAGCTACGTTTTGTGCTGATTATCACACTGAACAGTCGGCAGTCAGACTGGTCAAGGGCGAAGTGGAGCCCCGCAAGAGGCACTTGCATCGAGCAGCATTGTCGTGCGTCTCGCCCTTTCTCGAATGACCACACCCGAATACCATGCTGCCCCTGTTTTTCGCACTTCAACGACTTGCTACTCACCCTCTCAGCTGGCTGCACCGCAGCAGCGTGCGATAAATTCCTTCCTCAGGCAAACCGGCGATTAAGGCAAATTTTGTCTTTGTCAAGATTCGAACATGGCACCTCCGCAGAGCGAAGCCGAACCATTTATGTCTTCCTGTCTTCATCACCTGTTTCACTCGCACCACCGATACCTCATTGAATGCATGACATGCCACGGACATCGCGTAAAATGCTGAATCATTACGAAATACTGTCGAATTCTATTTAAATATTACCTGACGTCCAAAGGTAAACGGCGTCAAGAATAAGTACTGGCGTACTCCATATTTTCAGCTTATAATTAATAGTCAACATATCTTTCTCATGGATCGATCTTCGTCACGACAGCGTCTCTCTGTACTCTCGTCTCCTCTGTCATCACTATATCATTAGTCGAAGGTTGTCAGCTTCTGGTCGAACCTTCGGTGTACTTTAACTTTACACGAAAACGTACTCATTGCGATTCGTTATGTCATGGAAGGAGTATTTCTTTGACGTGCAGTAGCATCTTGTATTAATAAAAGCATTTGTCCTCATTCATTTTTGACCCTGATGCAAGAGACTGGTGTTGTTGAGGAAATTTCACCTCTTTCTAGAGATTTTGACAATTTGTATCAAGAAATTAGCCGTTATCTTTGCCATGTGAATTGCTATTTATTCATGATTATGTATTTTTACTACCCAACGCCAGCGGCCGAAATTCCATCAGCCCCACATATGGCTTCATTAACGCCCTACACCCTGAAAGGATTTGAAAAGATCTGGCTAATCTGTGCCTTTTGCACTTGATTTATCGATTTCTTGATTGCTGAATGATTGATTAACCTATGTTTAAGGCATTTTAGCTATTCTCTGTATAATCCTGCGAGCACTTCTTTACAATTTACGTGATTGACTTGATTTCCTATGTGCGATGTTTGTATAGGAAAAAATTTTGTCCTGATAGGAATCATCTTTTATCTGGTAAAAGTTAGAGTTGATTTCGAAGAGCACTTACCTGGAATTTGCTGTGAATAACTCATAGTAATCGAATGACCCTCTAAATGCTAAAAATGAATTAAATAATAACATACTTTCGGAAGCCAGAATTGTTTAACGCCTTGCACCCTGAAATCTGTGACGCAATAGAATTTTTTTCCGAAAGTATTTGAAAAGGTCTGCCTAATTTGTGCCTTTTACAGCGGGTACTTCCTTCAGTACGTGCTTATCGATTTCCTGTTTGCTGAGTGATCGATTAACTTATGTTTGATGCATTTTAGCTATTCTGCCCGTAAATCTGCAAGCATTAAAATAAACCCGATCTTATGGGTTTATTAACACACTGCTAGTTATCTCTACCGTCGTTAAGTGAAATAACACTTTCTGTTTTAATACCATACTGGAGCGGCGTAATGGCACCGTCCCATTGCTACTCGTCGCCTAAGGGATCATTTAAGCAAGCCACGGCTCCATGGTATTTGAACACCTGCAGTGTATGGATGTAGAACCGCATCACTAGGCAGGTCTGAACAAGGACCTATTACACCTGGAAAGCACTTTCTTTTAATTTATATGACTGATTTGATTTAAAATATACTTTGCACCAATAGGAGTGATTTAAACTTATCTGTGAAGTTCCTATATGAAAAAAGTATTTGCCCTGATAAGAATAAACTTTTATCTGATGAAAGTCAAAGTTGATTTTTGAAGAGGTTGGGATTTGCTACGAATGGCTCATAGTATTCGACTGACCGCCTAAGTAATTAAAATGAATTAAATAATAGCATATGCGTTTAATATGCGTGGTCCGAAAGCGCGCTTAAATTATAACTGACCGGTGATGGTTCGTAACTAATGGCAACGAGCATTGCCTAGTCTCGGTGAGCACGGTCGTTTTGTTTCATATGATCTGTCAGCACAAGCTTTCATATCTCTCTTTTGGCTTATGGTCCCAACTTGGCGATTGTGTCTCAAGTTTGTTCTTGCAACCTTTCAGGCAACAATCCGGCCGTGCTAAAGTCCATCGGTCGCCCATTACTCATGTGATATAGTCAGACTTGACTGAGGGTGATTTTGTTTCTGCTTTCCATCGATATTTCCCTTCCATCATGGCAGACGGGTTTTCGCTACTGTACACGCGTAGTCCTGGACAGAATGCGTTTGCCCTTCACCCGGCCAAATGGCATTCCAGGTGGCGGCTTTCAGAGGCTTACCCCCTCAGAGCTTTCATCGGCAAGCTCGGACACAGCCACCTCTTTGCCGGAGGTTTCTTGTCCGTACAACGGAGTGGTACATCATTTCGTTGAGGAAATTTGTATTAAGGGAAGGATAAACAGTCATTCATATTTTTTGTTGTCCGTAATGGCATAAACGAAAAAACGTAGGAAATTTCATACAGATTTTAATTCGCTGTCTCGACTCACTGTCCGACAAGAACGTTTCATAATTTCTTTCACGTTGTGAGGTCTTACCTCCCGCGTTTTTTGTAGCCACGAATTGAACGTCAGTTTTGATTTCTCAGTGGCCCTTGTCGATGGGCTGTTTAGTGGGCATCATCGCCGGGAGGTCTGCACATGAGCAGTTGGTTCCAGTTGGGAGCGCGACAGTAATGATCGTTCGTTTTACCCGTCCGATTGTCTGGCAGGTGGTTTTCGGAAATGCCGAAAGGTGACCGACAAGTACTGTTGCCTTGTGCAATCGGTGCTTCTTAACCTTTCTGCTATCTGTAGCTGGGAATTCGAATTTGATCGGCTCTTGTGCTCCTGCTTGATGGCCGTTTCGTCGAGTGGACAGACGGACAGAGTTGAATATTTAAGACGATGGAATGGTGTCAGGCCATTCGATTCGGCCGATAGTGATTCCGACGCGTTAACGAAAACGAGACTGATAGGTCGTGATGTCGAATCAGCCGCCTCATCAGTCTTGATTATGAGTGACGTGTGGCTGCACTTGAAATCAGTATAAAAAGGCACATGGCCGTTTGTCTGACAAGACGGTTTAGCGAAACAACAGCCCATCGGGTTCAAAATACCCGTCGTTGCGAAGATCCGGTATTTAGTGGTGACTCGTGGCCGGAAATGTGCAGATTAAATCAGCGAATCTGGACGTAGGCGAATCTGAGGTGACAGGGACTTGCCCTGGACTGTCGCCGTTCGTACATTTGGTACAAATGCAAGCAGCTCTTGGCGCTTGAAGCAGCTCGTAAGCTGCATGACAATCCTTCGTGCGACTGTTGCTTCTCCGATCAGCCAATCGACT